CTGTAATTAAACAAATTAATTAACCAAGTCAATTTTAACAACAAAATAACAGAGCACTTACATTAATCATTTTAATCGGGTTTGTTTTAAAAAAAGTAAATCAATTCTTTTTTATAGTTTTTACTGCTGTGTAACAATTTATTTTTTTTTTTTTATTTTTTATTTTTTATTTTTTATTTTTTATTTTTTTGATAGTATATAAATAGAATTGATACAGCTGATATAATTAATAATCAAAAGAAAAATTAAGGTGCGCTTTTATTTATTTTATATTTTTATATCTTTTATTATATTAATACGTATTTTTATTATTTATTTAGATATTATAAATAAGAACAAGATTTTAATTATTTTTTTATTTTTTGTTTTCATAAGTTTGAGTTTTGGTAAACAACTCAAAAAAAGAAAAACCAGTTGTTCAATTTGTCGCGCTGCTGATGTGAACATGTTTGATTATAACAAACGTATTCACGTTGCTGTTGGGAACCACAAACCAAACGTGATTCATCCAAAAAATACAAATGTAGCATCTGCGGAAGCGTGGGTCACAATAAGCGAACCCATCCTAACCATTAAGTTAAATGTTTTTTAAGATTAAATAAATAAAATAAGTTTTATAAAATTATAAACAAATAGTGATTTATTTTAAACGTAATCAAATATCATATATAAAAATTTATTTAATACATGCTTATAACTTAATTTAAATTGCTTAATTTCAGATTTTGCCAACTAAAAATTTATATTCATCTAATTCTATCGTTTGCCAATTTTTATCATTTACTATTTATAATCATTTATAATTGAATTAAAAAAGATTTAGGTTCGGGTTTTAAACTAATTTTTTTTACATCGTTAAAATAAAATTCATATTTATTCGGATGAGTGAGTAAAAAATATTTGGTACAAGGCATTTTTATGTTTTCGATATTATTCGTCTTGTCTTCACATTTAATTTCTTCTGGGATGTCACATTCTTCTTCAGAGTCTTTTAAAAGAAAAAAACCACGTGCGTGTTTAGGTTGTGGTAAGGTTTCAATTTTAAAGAAGAAATTTGTTCCTTCTAATTCAATGACTTCTTTATTGGGACCAGGAAAAATCAATCGTTTATGCATTTTTAATTTTTATTAAAAAAAAAAAAAAATACATTTTATAAATCCTGTTATTTATAAGTAATTTTTATCTATTTAAAAGGAGATACATAAAATTCGAAGAAAAACAAATAAAATAATAAATCAAATTAGGAAACAAATCTTAAAAAATTTACATAAATCATCAAGTTGTTAATCTTGTTTGATCAAATACAAATGATAATCTTAAGTCTTTGTGTAAATTAATATTTATAAATTTGAAATCCACCATTTACTTTCATTGTCATACCACAGATACGATATCCATAATACTTTAAAACATATTTATTCTGATTAGTAATCATAAAATATTCGGTGTATAGCATTTTTTGATTGTTTTTGTTATTTGTTAAGTCTGACAAATGATATTCTTTGGAATAGGAATGTCTTGATCTGATTCATCTGAAAAATAGACCCTAGCGCAGCCAGGATTCGATAAGGCTTTAAATTTAATTTTAAAGTTATTGTATACAAGAGAGCAACTTTCGGGAGGTAAAAAATTAATGATTTGAATAGGATACATTTCAGTAAATTATTAATCAATTTTTGTCGAGATTATTGATGTAGTGAGAAGTTTTTTGGTTTTTATCGTTAAAAATATCATTTTTAAGTGAGCATTAGACATATGAATTCTGCAAGAAACCGTTGATGTATGGATATTTTTTTTTTTTTTAAAAAAAAAAAAGAGCTTTATCTTTTAATCAATAATCGTATATCAAGTAAATCTTAAATGATTCTATTTTAGATTTTGGCGTCGGCTTTTCTTTAATTGTTTCATTTGATATATTTGGAATAGTCACACATTTAAGTTTTTTATTGGTATGATTTACACATGTTTACGTTTGTAAGAATATACCTTTATTTATACTAGTGAGCTTTTTTTATTTCTTCACTATCAAACTATTTTTATTTACGTGTTCATATGTAAACTCGTTGTTAAATATCTAAATTTGATAGTTTATATTTTCTAATTGCTTTGTTCCGCAAATCATCTTTATGTTTATGTCTCCAGACAAATTTTTTCTTTTAACATCGAATTTTTAATAAACAACTTCATATCCATTCCGATTTCCAGTTTTTTCATCATGTTTTAATTTAAAATCTATTGCTTGTTGTTTTGCTTGTTCACTAGTTCTTGTTTTTGTAATTCCAAATCTTTTTGTTTATATTTATTATCTTCTCTATATGTGAACAGCCAACTATTACATGATTGACTAAAATAAACTCCATTATATCCTGTAGTATTTGAATTTCATAATTTCCTATTTAATGCATTTTCTCTTTTATTTGTTTCTCTCAGGTTACATTCACGATTATCTAATCCACAACGATTCATATGATCAACCATATTCTATTTCGGATGAATCAAACGATGAAGTAATAAGTTTGTTCTTTTATTATTTGTATTAATATATGTTTGAAGATAATATATGTTTGCGTTTTTAACACAAGTCCAGATATAATTCTGAAGTAAATGAAAATTCTTGATATCGATCAGGAATGTGATTCTCGGTTTCTGTGTCTTGATTTCGTAATAGAGTTTATAATTGATAAGAACACATCTATATTCGTTCAATTTTAATTTTGGTTTATCAGAATTTGTGACTTTGATCCAATCGACAGCATGCTCAAAGTCTTTAAATTTTTCTGACCAATTCGACATTTTTTTAATAAACTTCAACTGAATTTTTTGAAGTATTTATATTTTATTTTAAGTTATAATTTTTAATTGATTCAATAAAACCATCCCATAAATTCGCAGAATGTTTTCTTCGAAATACAAATTCTTTCAAATGTAATTCTAATTTTTCTTTAGTTTTATCTCTTTTTAAAATGTTCATCTTAATACCCGCCCATGTTCCCTCGATATGTTGAGTATGAATTCTTTTTATAATTTGATTTTTACTCGGTTTTTTATGATTAATTCTTTTATACTTAAATCCCATTCCTATTTTTTCTAATTCACTGTATCCTTTCCACGAATCGGTATATATTGTTGATCTGGGTTTTACATGTATTTTGATTAATCTTTTTAGTGTATAAGCATTTCGATCTTTTACCATTTTAAAGAAAAATTTCTCAGTTTTGTTCTTTCTACAATTCCTAATACCCACCACTTTCCTCCAGAACGAAATTTAGATTCATCAATTTCTACAATTGTGTTTTTGCCTCTGATTTTTTCGTCTTCTTTTACTAGACTAGCAACTACAATATTTCTAAATAAATACATAAATTTTCTAACAGTATTTCTATCATGACCCGTAAATAATTGGATAGTAGTATATCTTGCTCTAATAAGCCAAAGATATCCAATAAATAAAATTTGATTGCATTTTATATGATGATTATAAAAAATAGTGTTTTTATATACAAAAATTGTTTGTTTCATACAATTTCCACAATTAAAAATTTTTCGCGTCGAAACAAAATAAAAAATCCTATATCCACAATGTAAACATTTAGTTGGTTTTTGAAAAATTCCCGTTTCAAAAAGAAATTCTACACATTTTTTTTCTTCGAGTAAAATTTCAGTTAGTTTGTAAAAGCTCAGAAATTTGATATTTTTTTCTAAATCCATGTGATTTTACAAAAAAATGCAGTTTTATTGCAATTTATAAATATTATGTTGTGTTTGTTTTTCGTTTAATTTCTTTGTTTAAATAAATTTTCTAGTTGAAACTTATTAAATTTTTTTATTTGTCTTTTAGGCTGTTTATCATATTTATATTTTTTTTATTAATTTTTATTTTTAACTAGTATGATTACGGCCAGTGTTACGTAATCATACTAGTTATATTAATTTTTTAATTCAACTTTTAATACAAAAAATAATTTTTAAAATAAGTAAATTTTGAATTTCTTATCTAAATCTAAGAATTCTAAAAATAATTTTTAAAATAAGTAAATTTTGAATCTCTTATCTAAATTTAAGAATTCTATCTTAAGTTTTTATAATTTATAGGCCAGGCTTGGACCAGACCTAGAGTTAGTTTAGTCCATCTGTTCTATTTCAGTCTTTAATAAGACTAGTCCTAATAGTATTTATCAATCCTATTAGTTCAGTTTTCTGCCTGGGTTTAAATTCAAAAAAGCCTGGCCTGGTCTATTTTAAACACTCTTTATAGGTAGTTTTTTTATTTTGTTAATATTCTAATTTTAATATATATTATTCTTTTTCTTTTAGATATACTGTAATAGATTCAAATTTACTAATCTAATCTTCACGATCATTACTAGGGTTGGATTGGTCGGTCTCAGTTTATCTTAGTCTCTAATAAGACTAGTTCAATAGTATTTATAGTTTAGTTCAATCTGGTTTCTGGTTTTAAGAATAAGTTATTTTATGTGAGTGATCACTAATTTTATCTTCATTGAAGTAAAATTTAAAAATAATAGTTTTTTTAACTATTTATTAGTTTATTCAGTTTTTTAAACTATTTAAAAGTTTATTTTAATAGTTTATTATTGGCCAGTTTGGAATAGTTAAAGACTAAGGACCAAAAACCATGTAACTGATCAAAAAGACCAATCCTCAACTAGTCTTCTCAGGACTGATCCAACTCTAATCATCACATGATTATATTGTTTCTTACTTCAAGTTTATATGTAGTTTTTTTATTTTGTTAATACTCTAATATCTCTTATTATTTTTTCTTTAGATATACTGCGGCAGATCAAAATCTGTTAATCCAATCGTAAAGGTCCTTTACGATTGTCACATGACTATGTATTATGAATAATTTAGAATAGTTGTTTTTATTTCATATTTATATATAGTTTTCGTGGTTTTCTTATTTTGTTAATACTCTATCTCTTATTATTTTTTTTAGATATACTGCAGCAGATCAAAATCTACTAATCTAATTGTGAAGGTTCTTCATGATCGTCACATGAC